GTATGGCTTGTCACCTTGTGACGGGGAACCACAGTCTAGGGGGAACTGGGTTTACAGGGCCTTGTGCTTTTGGCTAAAGTTTAGAACAACCAGACATGTCTCAATATAAACATTTTCCCCAAAGTGAGATAACACTTGAACTTCTCTATTTATGGTCAATTTAAAAGTTGGGACAGATGGCATGCCATTACTTTTTTTTTTATTTTTTGCTGGTGGAAATGAAATACAGGAAGGCATTTTATTATGCAGTTGTTAGGGAGCAAGACTTTCCCCCGCCCACTGAACCCTGACAAGTTTAATGAAATGAATTTCTGCGGGGGCCGTTTCATGACCTGGGCTGTGTCTCAGTGGGCGGGGTCATGCACTCTATGTAAATGAGATGAGATGACGGGAATTTTTGTGACTTTTTACAAAGCATCCAAACACGGGAAAAGCCTTGTAGGCTGAACAACGAAGGTGGGGCTTACAAACAGAAGCTCCTCTTTTTCTTTAAAGGCTGTGACAAAAGTCCGAAGGGGCCAGTTCCCCTTTCCTCTTCCTTGCGGAGTGCGGAGCATCTTGTCTGAATTTGAATAAAAACCTTTCCGGGGAGGAAGGCGTGTGTTTCAAGAAAAGAGGTTCAGGGAGAGAAAAGTGTTTGAAGAGTTTGAAGGTCCGGGGAAAGAAGTGTGTGCGTATGCACGCGGCGGGCGTTCGTGAGCATGTGTGGGTGTGTGAGGATGACTGTGGGTGGGGGCTCGTGCGCGCGTGTGTGGCATGTGTGAGTGTGCACACATACTCGCGCGTGTGAATGCGTGCACGCCTGTGAGTGTGGGTCTGTGTGTGGGTAGCCCGTGTGCGCCTGTGTGCGGTGTGTTTGGGTGGCTGTGTGCATGCCGTGTGCGAGCGTGTGTGCAAGCGTGTGTGTGCGTGTGTGCGGCGGGCGGGAGCGGCAGCTTCGGCTCAGCCAGCGGCAGAGCACTTCGTACAGAACTAATAGTGGTAGGGGAGGCTGGCGAGAGGCTAGGGAGCCGAGCAAGCGACCTTATTAACAAAAGCTCAGTTTGGTCCCTGCGGGCCCAACCAGCAGAAGGGGCTGGGGAGCCCTGGCTCTCCGCCAGGGAGGTCGGGCTCCCCCGCAAGCTCTGCACGCATCCTTTATCATGCCCTCCGCAGGGGGAGTCCTGAGGCTTGGCAGTCGGGAAGTTTCCAAAGCCGAAGCAGCCGCCGCCGCCGCCTTGGACAGGACCAGCAAGGACAGTGGAGTGAGTATGTGAACTTCAGGTCTATGTTTTCCCGTTGGGTGGGTTAAGGGATTTCTAGTACAAAGAAAGCTCACACTCAGCTGACCTGAAAGACTGGAATTTCAGCTCTCTTTCCTTTCCTGGGATCTTGTTCCTCCCCCTTCCTCTCACAGCCCTTTAAACCAGAGATTACCGGGTCAGTGACTCTTCCCCGCCTGCCCCGGGGCCCAGAGTTTCTAGCTTTTTAGCTTGGAAAGGAAAACCACTACCTGTAAGTATCTGCTTTACGTACTTCCTCTCATCTTGACTGCGAATGTTCTGTTAGCAGAATGCTCCCGAGGTGGTTGGTTTGCGTGGTAGAGTTCACTTCAAGTATCCTCGCAAGAAGGGTTTTCAGAGTCCGCTTGCAAAAGTTTAATTCTCATGTCAACTCAGAAGGGTGGCTGTTTGCACTGTTAAAAACCCATATGCCCACAATGGGAGTCTCTCTATTATGCAACACAATTTATAACTCTCTTCCGAATCCATCCCCATGGCACTCACCAACGAAATCACCATTTTAAATTTTGTAATCCACCCTCACCACCACCACCCCAGATCAGGATGTTTCTTCTCAGCTACATGAAATGGCAAAGGGAAATGATGAAAAAATTAACACGACGAATAATCTCCTCATGGTATAAAGAGAGAGAAATTTGCATGAGATGAGTTTTGGATACCTGGCTTTGATTTAGTTCTACTTGGAGATATATTTTTAAAAGCATGATTTCTATTTTTATGGGGATGAGAGGGAGTGTTGGAGAGGCAAAGAAATCATTTTGTTCTGAAGTTTGGGACTGATGTTTAAGTTCTTTTTTGCACATTACCCAGATTCGGTCCAGAGACTTTGGTGCTGTACTGAATAGTTTCTTTTAGTTTTCATCTGGATCACAGAAGTAATTTTCAAGGCATTTAATTTTCCTTTCTGCTTTTTTTTTTTTTTTGGACTCTTGTGCTTAGTCTTGTTGCCTGGTGTGAATTACAAAGCTTAAAAAGAGCATTTCCGGGGGCTGGTTGGAGATTATGGCCTGGGAATCTTGCTGGAGAGATTAACCTCTTCACGACCGCTTCGCCGACTAGACCTAGTGATCCAAATGCTCCTCAGGTTTCTGCTCCAGAAAACTGACAGCACCATTCCTGACTCTAGTTAAAGCCTGAAGAATTGCTTTGCAGTCCCCTGCCTATACTTGGTAAAAGTGCCTTCAGTAGGATTCTAGGAAAACGGTAACTACCCTTGGTCTTTCTCTCTATCAGGAATTCTCAAAACTTAGTGTGAATGGGAACCACTTGGGTCCTTGCTGAAAGGCAGGTGCCTAGGGCACCCCCCCCCCCCCCCCGCCCCACCGAAGGGTTTTAGGCCTGGGGAGGGGCCGAGAATTTACCCAGGTGATTCTGAAGCAGGTGAGATCACATTTGGATAAGCGCTGCTCTGTGTTGTCCTGGGCAATTAAATTCTTGTCCCGTACTTGGTTAATGTGAAACCTCATATCTAAATGATAAACTTGAATTTCAGCTGATGTTGAACATAAGTTATATGCGACATGGCTTTGCTTGCTTGGCTGATAAACCAGGGCTTTTGACCAGCTTTCCCACCAACCTCATCTTTATTTCCTTGCTCTTTTTTCCATCTTCGCCTTTCCATTCCCACGAGTGAGGAAGGGAGTTGGGCAAAGGTGCTTGCATGCCATGTACCCACCTCCATGTGTTGGGATGTGTGGTCTGACCTGACCGCACATGGCCAAGCAATGTTCATCTTAGAAACTTTCAACCCAGGGCGGTTCTCAATTCTTTATCAGCCTCCCAGGGATACTCTGCTTCTGGGGATGGGCTAGGCCGAGTGGGGCTGAACTGAGCTGGATTATTTCTTGGGACCGTTCAGGAGCAATTCCTAGAAACTGAGTTTGGATTAGACCAACCCACAGGGATTGGGAGAAACAGGAAGTGATTCCTCCATTATGCTGAGGTCCTCATTTGACAACATATGAAGGTAATAACAGCCTCCATCCCCATCCTCGATGATGTTTTATGCCATTGTATGTTTACAGGAAAGAGAAAATAGGATGTGGTCATCAGTGTCCCTTCCTTTTTCCACCTCTCCTCACTCCAAATGTTTGTGGGTGCCCGCTACGTGCCAGGCTCCGTGCTACTTTCCCGGGACTCCAGAAAGATCAATGTGTGGACAGAGCCCTTGTCCTCATGCTGTTTCAAGTCTTAGCTGTTGCTAACCAATCTTGGGTGAGCCAGCTAATCTCTCTAAACTTCACTTCCTCCTCCAATAAAAGGAAAGGGTTGAGTTAAATGAGTTTGAGTATCTTTCCAGTTCTTTTTTTTTTTTTTTAAGATTTTATTTATTTGACAGAGAGACACACAGCGAGAGTGGGAACACAAGCAGGGGGAGTGGGAGACGGAGAAGCAGGCTTCCTGCCGAGCAGGGAGCCCGACGTGGGGCTCGATCCCAGGACCCTGGGATCATGACCTGAGCTGAAGGCAGACGCTTAACGACTGAGCCACCCAGGCACCCCAACCTTCCAGTTCTGATACTCTGACATTGGCGGACATGGCTCAGTCTTCTAAACACAGACAAGGGGGAATGGGAGCTTTGTAGCATTTGCGTTTTGAAAACAGGCCCAAAGATTTGGCTTCCTGCTTTTCTTTTCTTCTTCTTTTTTTTTTTTTTTAACATTTTTCAAAAATATCTTTTAACTTGTCTTTCTCTCCTCAGAAACCAAGACCACCGGTAGAGTGAGTTAGACAAATTCTACCTTTGCAGAGCACACAGTCATTCCTCACAATGGGCTCCTGTAACTCTCTGGAAGGCTGTCTCCCTGGGCCGGGTAACCTAGGACAGCAGCTTCTTATCTTGTCTGAATCTGGTGTTGCTCCCCCCCTTTGGAGAGCTGGGTGGTCTGAGCAGGGCTTAGCAGGGCTTCGTGCTTACACAGCTCGCACCTGACCCTTTCATTCAAGAGATTTAGTAGCTTTTGTGCTACCAGGTGAGAGGCTCCAACAGAGACCTTTGAGGGTCTGGGGAAAAAAACCCAACTCCCTAATGAAATCCACATTTTGTCTTCTATAGTTTCTCTTACTGCCATGACTGCAACATTTCAAAGGGTTCTAAGACTTGGCCATCAAGATAAGAAAATATAGCTGTGATCTGAGCGCTTTTCTGACCAATGAAGCTTCTAAGCTGTCTGCAGATAATTACGTTTGGGTGGAAAACTACTCGCTGGAGGACAGTGTACGGGGCTACTGCAAAGTTAGGATTTTTTTTTTTTTAATTTATTTATTCGACAGAGAGAGTGAGAGAGTACAAGCAGGGAGGAGTAGTAGAGGGAGAGAGAGAAGCAGGCCTCCCGCTGAGCAGGGAGCCTGATGCGGGGCTCGATCCCAGGACCCTGAGATCATGACCTGAGCCGAAGGCAGACGCTTAACCATCTGAGCCACCCAGGCGCCCCAAAGTTAGGATATTTTTGACCAAAGGTTCTTGGCCTCTTGTTAGTAGGTTTAAAGGAGGTGGCAAAATAGTCTTCGGTTTCACTTTTCTCCCTCCCTGTTTATGAGGTTGCTGGTACGATGTCAGAAATACTCCTTTTATGCCTCATGCAAAGGCTTCTAAGATTGTGTGTCACTCTTCACTCTCAATTTTATCCTTGAAACTTTCATATCTGGCTTCTTTAGAGACCGGGGCAGATAACACTCCAGGACCCACTGAGCTCCACGTCCTTCCAGTGGTTTTCCACATCCCTAGGATCCTATCTCTGCCTTCTGTCAAGTGTTATCAGCTGCTCAGGGCTTACAAATGCTCCCTATATTCTTTGTACAAAAATGAGCCTGGACTTGATCTCGTGAGGTCGCACTCGATGCCGTTTTCATTCCAGGGTCTACATTTCCTGTTAGCACAAAAATTCTTCATTTGGTCAATTATAAGCCAAAACCATTGTGAAGTTAGGAGAATTTCAGAAAGGAATGACATTCCCAGATGAGAATTCATCCACATGTTTAAAAGCCCTTCCATAGCCCAGATTTGTTTCTCCTGTTAAAGTGATTCTCCTCCTGGGAAAGGCAACATAGCAACACACAAGAGCAGTACTCTAATTCTGTTTTATGTAAATCTTCCTCTTTGTTATAACATGGTGGAATAATTCTATGTCATCCAATAAGCATTAGTGATTGTTTTGAAACCAAAAAGTAGTGTTAATAGGAGAGCTCGAATATTAAATCGGAGTGGTGTAATAGAAAAAAAAAAATGATCTTTGAATAAATTTCAGCTGGGTTCCAGTTCTGGGCTGCAGTGTTCTTTGGTTCTGTGATACTGGCCCAGTTACTTAGCTAGTTTCCTCTGAGTCACATGAGGATATGGACACTTACCAGATGTTCATGAAGGCTAAAGGACGTTTGAAAAGCACCTGGCATGGTCCATGATGTATGGTAAGTGCTCAGTGAGAATTTCTTCTCTGGAAAAGGGCTAACACGGGTGTGAAGGCTGGAAAGAATCACACATGTGGCAAGCCATTCAATCCCTAGGTAAAAAGAAAAGAGAAATGGGAAATCAAGCTTTCTTCCAGATTTCATTGACGAGGCAGAATAGTTGTTAGCCCACCACTTCTCTGCCCTTGGTCCACTTGGTGGGACCCATGGGTGGACCCATGAGCAGACCCATGAGCTCCTGGACCATCAAAGTGATTAGTACAGAGACAGCAAGGGCACTGTGAAAATCATTCTGCCCTCATTTCTTCCTGACCTTCCAGAATTGAAGACTTTTATAGCTGTTTCAGGTATAAATACATCAGGAAATAAATAATTTTATTTTATTTTTTTTGGAGGGAAGGATTTTGCTCCATTGTAGCCAGGGGTCCCACTTCAGGGGGAAATGTTTGAGAATTTGAAACTCGGGGATTGTACCACGGGCAGCTTGTGAACTATCACCGAAAAGAAAATGACAGGCCTTAGCCATTCAAACATGCGGTGCTCCCCCCGGTCTT